GCCGACAAAAAGACTAAGATTCTCGGCCTTAGAGCTATCTTCCTTCCCAGAGACTAGACTCACCTCAAGAGGGTCAACAGTGCTATTTGGTCGAACTCCAACGACCTCTAGATATCGGATTGATACAAAAGAATGCGTCGCCCCGGTGTCGAACAGAGCAAAAATAGGCACATTGTGCAAAATAATCATCTCAGACATAGTACCTGGGTTCTGCTCCACCTCTGCCTTGTCCACAACATCACCTGAGCCTATCGTCCTCCTCGCCTCAGGTGTATGCTGTGGACCAGGCAGAGGTGGAGCAGAACCCATGTACTATATCTGGGATGAATATTTTGCAGAATGTGTCTGTTTTTGCTCTGTTCGACACCGGGGCGGCACATTCTTTTGTATCAACCTGATGTCTAGAGGCCATTGGAGTTTGACCAAATAACATTGTTGACCCTCTTGAGGTGATTCTAGCCTCGGGAAGGAAGATAGTGAGGAGCTATAAGGCCGTGAATCGTGGTCTTTGTGTCGGCGACCGAATCTTAGTGGCCGATGCGTATGTTATCGAGATGAGGGATTTTGACTCATACTCCGTATGGATTGGTTAACTCGTTCGTGCAGATATTCGTTTCCGTGATCGGGAAGTAACTCTTCACCTTCCAGAGGACAGTCAGATCACTTTCTATGGAACGGAGACGCGAACCCTACTGCGTGTGATTTCTATGGCAAAGACGAGGAAAATATTGCGAATGGGAGATTGTAAGGGTTATTCGGTGAGTATTGTCAGGGAGGATTCGAGAGCACAGACACCTCATGGCATTCCAATTGTTCGTGAATTCGTGGATATATTTCTGGACCAACTACTATGAGGGCCACCCAACCGACAAGTGGAGTCTCAATCGACCTTTTGCTAGGAGCAGGACCAGTGTCAAAGAAGTCGTACAGGATGGCACCGAAGGAGCTGCAGGAGTTAAAGACGCAGATTCAAGAGTTATTGAAACTTGGTTTTATTCGACCAAGTGTTTTGCCTTGGGGAGCACCCGTTCATTTTGTCAAGAAGAAAGACGGATCTATGAGGATGTGCATCGATTACCAGGATCAAAATCAGTTAACGGTGAAGAACAAGGACCCGCTCCCGAGGATAGATGATTTGTTTGATCAACTGAGGGGAGCTTGTGCGTTTTCCAAGATCGATTTACGCTCAGGCTATCATCAGTTGAAGATTATGGAGTCTGACGTGGCCAAGACTGCGTTTCGGACGAGATACGGGCATTATTTCGTGGTGATGCCATTTGGTCTGAGTAACGTGGTAGCGGGGTTCATGGACCTGATGAACCGCGTTTTCTATCAGTACTTAGACCGATTTGTTATCGTCTTTATTGATGAAATTTTGGTCCATTCGAAGAGTCTTGAGGAGCATGAGGAGCATCTGAGGGTTGTTCTCGGGACACTTAGACAAGAGAAGTTGTATGCCAAGTTCTCCAAGTGCGAACTTTGGATGAAGAGAGTGGCATTCCTTGGCCATATTATCATCGAAAGAGGTATTGAGGTAGATCCAGTAAAGATTGCCGCAGTTCGAAACTGATCAACGCCCAAGAGTCCAACCGAGGTTCTTAGTTTCCTCAGCCTAGCAGGCTATTATCGCAAATTTATCGAGGGGCTTTCAAAGATTTCCCTACCTTTGTCTCAGTTGACGAGGAAATTAGTGAAATTTGAGTGGACGAGTCGTTGTGAAGCGAGCTTTCAGGAGCTCAAGGAGAGGCTTACGCCGGCACTAGTGCTGACTATTCCGAATCCTACTCGAGGTTTCATCTTTTGTAGTGATGCTTCGAGGCAGGGTTTTGGGTGTGTACTCATGCAATAAAGGCAAATTTGTGGCGTAAGCTTTGCGTCAGTTGAAGCCACATGAGCAGAATTACCCAACACATGACTTAGAGGTGGCAGCAGTTGTGCATGCACTCAAGATTTGGCGGCATTATCTGTATGGTGGTCGATGTGAAATATTTTCCGATAACAAGAGTTTATAGTATATCTTCACGCAAAAAGAGCTCAACATGCACCAGAGGCGGTGGTTGGAGCTAGTGAAAGACTATGACTGCACGACCTAGACCATCCGGGGAAAGCGAACGTTGCAGCAGACACCCTAAGCCGAAAGGTAAAGGGTGAGTTGGCATGTCTCATTACTCAGCAGAACAACTTATCAGAGAGTTCACCCGGATGCAGATTGAGGTTGTCGAATCACTTCTTAAGGAGATCGTGGGGAGTGTCAGCTCGATGCGAAGTCAACCCATTTTGAGAGAGAATCCGACGGGAGAAATCTTACGATCAATTCGTTCATTCCATGAAAGCGAAGATTCACGCCGGAGGAGTAGAAGGCTTTTACCGAGGTACCGATGGAGCCTTAGAGTTTAGAGGTAAGATTGTCAAGCCAAAAGTCGAGGCCATACACAGAGAGATCTTGACGGAGGCACACAGTGCGCCATACTTAGCTCACTTCGGGAGTACCAAGATGTACCACGACTTGAAAAAGTCGTTCTGGTGACGGGGGATGAAGAAAGATGTAGCCTATTTTGTGGGAAAATGTTTGGTCTGCCAGCAGGTGAATGCCGAGCATAAGAGTTCATTGGGTTTGCTACAGCCACTGGAGATTCCCCAGTGGAAATTGGAGAAAGTTACATGAACTTTGTTACGGGGCTACCCGAGTTGTCCGGACAGCATGACGCGATTTGGGTAGTAGTGGATAAATTGACGAAGACAACACACTTTTTGCTTATGACGATGGACATGTCGATGGAAAAGTTAGCCAAGATCTATACCCGTGGGATCGTTCGACTCCATGGGGTGCCTATTTCGATAGTATCAGCAGATTCACCGACAGATTTTAGGAGAGCTTGCATAAGGCGATGGGCACACAACTCAAGTTCAGCTCGGCTTATCACCCACAGACAGATGGCCTCGAGGACATGCTCCGAGCTTGTGTACTGGACAGAGGTGCCAAGTGAGAGAAGTTGTTGCCATTGGTCGAGTTCGCCTACAACAACAGCTATTAGGCGCCGATCAAGATGGCTCCATACGAGGCGCTTTACGGGCGCAAGTGTCGTTCACCCCTTTATTGGGATGAAGTTGGCGAGTGTAGAGTACTCGGTCCAAAGTTGATCGAGGAGACAGTTGAGCAGGTGTCCATGATCAGAGAAAGACTTAAGACGGCCCAGAGTCGGCAGAGGTCCTCTGCCGACAAGCATAGACGAGACTTGTAGTTTGAGGCAGGAGATCGAGTTTTCCAAAAGATTCGACCTTTGTGAGGTGTCGTTCGTTTCGGGAAGAAAGGGAAGTTGTAGCCTCGTTATATAGGCCTATTCGAGGTTCTAGAACGAGTGGGCGAGGTAGCATATCGCTTAGCTTTGCCTCCCGAGTTGTCCGGTGTGCATAACGTATTTCACATATCGATGTTACGGAAGTACGTGGCCGATCCAGATCATGTGCTTCAGCACAACGAGCTTCAGATTAAATCGGACCTAACTTACGAAGAGCAGCCGATAGCAATTTTGGACCGAAAGATTCATCAGCTCAAGAATCGAGATGTTTCTGCGACCACAGCCCATATCGCCATAAATTCTTAAAAACAAATTATACACCTTGACATAAGATGAGTTTACAAATAGGCTTTTCTTTTTTCTTTTTCTTTTAACTCCATTTTATTCAATCTCACTATAACGGAATAGCATTGTGATTCTTTTAAATTAAATTATGAATTGTCCGACGAAGTTGTGATACCTTATATTGAGTATCTTTTTGTTCTTGTTTGGAATTATTCAAGCAATTCTTTAATATCCAAAATCTTAGAAATTCATAATTCCTACAGATGTATAAAATTAATTAAACATTAATTTATAACACTTATATTGACCCGTGATGATTCTTAAAAAAAAAAATCAATTGATTTGAAAATTTCTCCATTGCCTTAACTATTATTTTCTTCTGGGTAGAAGAAGTGAAGAACTACCTACGTCCGCTTTATAGTTGTTGTACAATATAAAATACTAGTACAACACACGTATAACACGCGTGCTTCCTAAAAAAATTATTATGAAATTTAAAAATTAATGAGAAAATTATTCTAAATTTTATTTACTTTTTTACAAAAAATATATTTTATTATACAGTTTAGAATGACACTTGTTACTTGTCCGACTTGCATGTGTTATATTATAGTAATTTTATAACTTATATCATATAACTACTTGAAATATAAATATATTAATTGATAAATAATTTTATTTTTTAATTAATATGAAAAAAATTATTTTTATTATAAAGATAAATATAATTTATTTTTTATACATACAATATGGATGTTAAATCGAAATATAATTTATTTTCTATACATACAATATGGATGTTAAATCGAAACTACTCAAGAGATGATTAATTTGATATATTATATATGTAAAACTGATAAAAAAATATAAAAGTTACTAACTTTTAAAAATACTATTATAATTCAATGGTTACAATCTGAAATGATATTAAAATACAATTAATACATGTAACATGACCCTAAATAATGAACATATTTATGGATAATTCGGACTTAATTCTTTTTTTTTTATTAAAAATAAATTAAAATCTATTCAAGCCTAATAACAAATCATGTAATTTATCACAGGATCCCAAAACATGCGAGCTTGTCACTTAGGCTCAACGCATTCTGAATTAATATATAGGGGGCTGAATTAATATATAGGGGATGTTGCATAAAAAACATTGAATAAGGGAGATTTTAACTTTCTTCATTGGTGGAGGAATAGAGTTTATTGAGTAAACTCTTTTGAAAATCATCTTATCTTCTCTTGACCATCAACGTAACAGTATACTCGGTTACAAAATTCAGTGGTAGACAAGTTTGCTTGATGTTGATATGAGCCACACTTGAATGATTTTCCAACACAACTGTAGAATCAAGGGAAGGTTGGGCACTTCATAAACACACCCCACCTTTAAGATTTAGAATTTAAATGCCAAAATTATCCTCAAGATATTGGGTGTCTAGCACTAGACTTTGTATGAACAACCAAGATATGGAATAAAAGATTCAAAAGGTTCCCATCATTAATTCATCGGCCAAAATGATTTTAGTTTTTT